CGAAGTGCTCTAATAGGGTGATATGGTACTACAAGGTCATTAAGATAAGATGGGGCCTGATTATTTAAGACCTTGTATGTGAGGAGCAGGATATAAATTCTGGATTTAACAGGGAGCCAGTGAAGAGACATTGCAGACATAGAGGACAGGGTACAGAGCGCTACAACCACTCAAAGTCCTCAGTCAAAGTTGACCTATAGGACGTCACTGCCATCAGAAGTGTTTTACTACAGGATAAAGGATCACTAGACCCAAACATGGCAGTAAAATCCAGTCCACAAGATTCCTTATGGATTTCACATGTGTCATGTTTGTAGATTAGTAAAGAACCCTGAGCCTGGTTCTGCTGGAGGTTTCTTCCTTCCCACTGTCGCCAAAGTGCTGCTCACAGGGGCTCATCTGGTTGTTGGGTTTTCCTCCGTATTAGGGTCTTTAACTTACATAAAACACCTTGGGGCGACTGTTGTTGTGGTTTTGCACTGTATAAATAAAACTTAATTGAATATTTGTATCTGATGTCTCATCTATAAAAATCCAATGTTATGACTGCCTTTTATTTTGTGAGGATATCTGTTAACTATCTACCTTTCCAACCACAATCATGGATAATGTTGATGCACAAAAAGGGCTCTGTGGGGGCGGCAGCAGTGGAGCAGAGGAGGCTGAGATTTCACCTTCTCTAACGTTGATGTTAGAAAAGGTCATGAAGGGTGAAACTGATCTAATGATGAACTGTGACACATCCACACAGAGGGTCAGATTCAGAGCTAGCTTCACGTCTGTGTTTCTTTTATTCACACACACACACATACAACCTAGCTTGAATTACCACGTTTAAGCTGCACACCACTAAAGTTTAAGCTCGTTCCTTCTATTTCACAGCTGCACCTTGGTATCCAACAGCATCGCTAAATGCAAGGGTCAGTCCGGCTACAAAGAAGCAGTGGGTCAAACACACACCTTTAATTCTTTCAGTGGGATACAGTACAAAGAGTCAGAGCAGCAGCTCTGTGGCAGTGTAACATCAGGTAAACAAACAGTGTACTACGTAGACGAGGCCGGGCAGGTTTCACTGGCGTGTTCCTGCTGCTCTGCACGGCTGGCTGTTGTCCTTCAGCTGCTGCAGGTTGAAAAGCCCACAGAAGTCACAATTGTTTCTTGACTCCAGTAAACTTGCACCAGCTTTCCCAGAGCCATCGTATTTACAGAGGACGACCCCGGCTGCAAGCTACAGAATCATTTTGTGCAACCGCAGCTCATTACGACCAGCTAGGAAACTTTAGAGACGCTGCAGTGAAAACACAGTTTTCAGTTAGATGTCGCTTGACAACAGTAACAAAGGCACATTAATCCCATTAAAAGTTACAATGTTACAAACAACGTGAAGCACTGTGAGGAGACGTTATGATCTGATGCTGTACAGACAAACTCAGTTAAATGGAAACAATGAGCTGTTTGTTTCTGTGTCCAAGTTCACTTTGAGTATCAGCTGTTTCCATTTGAAGTCAAAGGGCTGAAAATATTGTTCACATGCAGTTTGATTTGCAGACTTAAGCGGCGACATGGATACGACAACATTATGGTACCGTGCTGTAGCGAGGAGGACGAGCTGCGTTCCACGGTGGCAGCAGGAGAACAACCTGCCCAAACTCCCAGTTTGTGTGAGGACAGGGTTTCCCACCTGTCCCAGTCTGCTGCAGTAACGACCGCCGCTTTAGGCTCCGACGTGTTTACAGCTGCTTTAGCACCATAGAAATGACACATTTGTTATCTGGAGCGATGAACACAGTTTCCTCCTCATCACCAAGCTCCGCCCCTAAAGCTAGTCTATCTTCACATTGTCTGAGGTGGAGGTTGTGACTAAACTAGCAGCACAGTCAGTGATATAGTTCAGAAAGGCTGGGAGAAGACCTGGTACTGGTATACTTCCCACAATGATAAGGATCATACAGTGATCATAAGCTGACCTTTGACATCAGTGATAAAAGTAATCAGGTTATGTTGATGTACTGCGGTCTTTCGT